CTTTTAAGTCTCGTTCCTCAACTTTCCAAAAATTTCACATCTTAATGGTACAGAAACCCGAATTTAACTCAAAACCAGGTACGTAAGGTGTGCGACACATGAAACACTCACAGCGAAAATAAAAAGAAGCAATCAAAATTGTAATAGCAAAAAAAGCGGATGTCGTTAAGCGAAACAGTCTGATATTTTAGCCTGAAGGCAAAAAAGTCAAAGTTGTTTCTGGTATGTAATTAACAAACAAGCCGTGCAGACGTGTGGGAAAACAGACGTATAGCTTCACGCATTCTTAACCACGCCGCTAGATGGACGTCAGCGGCTAGATTTACGACCCAGCCACGTTACTCATGAGGTAAGAACCTCATTATCCATCGGATGGGAGACTGGGAAGGCTCCAGAGCCGGTCCTAGACGTAGCCTGAAGAAAGAAATAAACATTCTTCTACAGTCGCTGTAGACAAAACGCAAAACAAACACGGTATGACCCACAGACGACCAACATGCCATCAGTGGCTGCCAGAACAAACCTTAGTACGATCTTGGGCATCTGAAAACTATGACTGCAGGCATTGATTCAGCTCGAAACATGGGCGTAAGTTCGCAGAACGCCTGTGAAAATAGCTCCGTCTTACATGTTGTTTTCTTTAACTTCATACTAAAATGTGTTCATACACTTCAGTTCTGGCGGAATCGGATTACAATCACGTCCAGGTTACTTTAGTTACAACTGTTACTTTAGCGAAACAGGTCAAAGGAGTTTTTCACCACAATTGGACAGAACCCCACTGTTGCGGACAGACATGGATAGGCCCATAAGGAGTTCTTCGCTCACGCTAGAGCGTCAGAAGCAATCTAAGAGTGGTTGATAGACTTTGTTAGCTTCATTTCTGACAGATGAAAACAGTAGCATGAGACCTCATGTCTTCACGACAATGATAATTTATATCGTGGTTTTCTGAGTTATGGTAGAGTATGATCTCGATGGTGGCTACCAAGATTTTGGAAGAGTTCGCCTCGAGTTTTGCGATACAATCTACCTGAAGACGAATAAGTTTCACCTAAAACTTGATAACCTTCTACAAAACTGCATGACGTCATAACCCAGAAGACCACAATCCAAAATGTAACCTGAGAAATGAAAGAGAAGAAAGAAAACATATAATAACAAGTCCATCAATAACCTTAAAAATTTCACAATGTGCGTCATTAACTCCAAAATATATCGCGGAACCTTAAGCAGTTAAATTACGATGATAGAGTGTTTATGTGTAGATCCATGTGATTAACTCAAGTTGTAGGTACCTTGAATCAAAACAGTAAGGGTCATCTGTGGAAGGTTAGCAGATCCAAGGCTGGCGGAGGGTCAAGCTGCCCTCAGACCCATTAGTGACCAGAATAAGGTGTGTCTTAGCCTCGTGGCTCTGAAGAAAGAAACCTTACATTACTCACCTACTTAACAAATTGAGAAATATATGTCCTCTAAAAACATCAGTTTTGTGAGTCCTAGTATGTAGACCTGCACCTGAAAAAAATAATTAAACAAGGCGCATATACAGTATTTTCCAAATACGTTCTTTACGCATTTGTTGTCATAGTGGCCTCTATGTTAGGTTTATTTCAGGTACCAAATTCTCGTAAATGAAGACCGACTATGAGTCCCACCTAGCTGCCTGTCTAAAGAGTACTGAGGATTTATTCCCGCTGGTAAATTGGCCGAAGCGTGAAGCTGGCCACTCACATGTTACTTTTTTATTTGTAGTGTTCTGTCTGACGACAGGTCCATATGAACAGGATCCTTCCATCCTTTTCTCGGACTGGGACCTGTTCATATACGTTCTTGGCAGATGATCCAGAAGTGGTTTGACATTGCCTTCTTCTGTGTGTGAATGGAGGAATTGTTGGGATGCCACGGAGGAAAACTCCGGGCTGCCTAGACCACGGCCTTGCCCACCACAAGTTATAAATTCGGGCACCGCCGGGAAGGGTACAGAAGTCAGAGTACTATAATGTTAAGCACAGAAGACAGTCACTTTAAACTTGCTTCATGAAAAATGTGGTCTGTCTGTTGCTCTTAGATGTAAACATTTCAAACTTTCTTGTTCACAATAATTAGCATTTGTATAAATGAGGAAAGTAGAGGATGTAGTTGATTTTGATTACATAATTTCACAGTTTAAAATATGTGAGTCACATGTACCTGAAGATAAAGACGCGGGGCCTTACCTCCACTTCCCAATACGTCTTCATAGCGTTGTGTGTAAATTTGCATCCAAAATATCCTCTGTTCAGAATTTCTCCTTTTTCTTTATGGCATTTATTTTATTGCACTGTGAAGTAAGATCACAAGCATAAACCAGAAGCTACAGTGTCCCATCCAAAATTCAATTCTTATAGTTTTCTGGGTAATTTCTAAAGGAATATAGTTGAAAATAAATGGTAATAAATCATTCCATTGTTTCGAAATATTATAAATAAGAAACAGACAAGACGAGTGTTTAAATAAACACAGACTTCATATGATTTTCGTCTGAAAACCACAAGAAACACATAAATACTCTATGGCAAAATTTAAAGCATTTGATATGTATAGTTACCATCGGCATATAAATAGGTAACCAGTGTACAATCCGAAACAACATCACTGAATTTATAATACTTTGGTCTTTGTAATATCCACGCAAGTATGTTACAAGTTCTATCTGACACCAGTTGCGTGATAGATGGCTGTAGTGAAGCTGTATCAAATAGTAAGGTAGTCTACAAACTATCACTGATATTATTGATTCGATTGAGAGATTGTAAAATACACGTAAAAGGAAACGGTAGACTATAAACAAGTTCTAATTTTTATGACCTGAAGCTTTCACGGCGATTAAGTATAATAAATTATTCTCGGGCTACCAGAAGTGTACCGACAATACCCTGAGGACGAAGACGAAGACGGTTCTCGAAACGTTGGTGTTTCCTTCATTAAGCCACCTAACACGGCTGGTAGCCCGAGAAGAATTTATTTTTGTCCTAAATCTTTATTCATTAAGCCTGCTAAGAATAATTAACATCGCCTTAACTACTCGGTATCTAATGTCTCGTTTGTAAAGATGCGGAACATGACACAAAGGTGAGTTTGGAAGTTAGTTATAATGTTTAAGACACACTTTCTACGCCTTACGATCTACATTAACGCGTTAAAAGTAACTCCGAGACCACGGTTTAGCTAAATTCATAATAAAAAATAAGGAACAAGTAGGCCTAATTACTCCTCGAAGCTAAAATGTATGGTCTTGACTCCGACTCGGCCTTCATCCCATTATGACAAGCAGTTCAATTTCCTAATAATTAGGTGAAGGCAAGGTCACACTTGTATCAGTGGGTCATAAAGCTGGAGGCGAGGTGGGAGTACATTGGCAATAGTGTTATTATACATGGGCAAACAACTTGGCTTGTGGGTGACGTCACAATTCTGTGAAATTGGCAGTAATTCTACCTGTAATTCAGAACACATCTGACCTCAAGAAGCGAAGAACTTGAATAAGAATAAAATACTCTTTGTCAATATAACGAAATCTTAAAACACAACGTTCAAGTAAGTCACAATATGGAATCGACTACACGGCTTGATGTGCTGTCCAGAAATGTAACCTGAGAGAAATGTTTTCAGCAAAGGCGTGGCCAAGACGTACTCCGTGACCATTACGAGCCGCTCGTAATTCTCGCTTAGTCTGTCCTCACCGAGATATGATCAAATGGTAACAGGTTTGACCAGGTTCAACGCCACAGACGGCTGCCATTTTTAATATTAAATGTCTGTCTATCTATCTATCTGTCCTGCTGATCTGGAAATACTAAGTTCAAATTTCGGTGTAATTAAGTAACCCATAAACCACTGAACTTCATAACGATTACTTTCTAGAAACACTCCCATTTTGTAAGTTAGTTGGCAGGGCTATAGAATGTCACGGTCTAATGCTCCAGCTTAGAAATGCTGTGTCACAAAACACCCAAATCAGATACCACGCGAAAGACGAACTGACGAATGGCAATTTGAGAAGAAACGGTCATGGCCTATTTTAAGGTCAATAGCAAGGCCATATTCGAAGGCGAAATTTCCCCAGTACGACTCATAACGCGGGCATGTAGCACGCATGACGGACGACAGATTCATACAAAATCTTAACCGTAAATCACAAAGGAAAGAGACCACTTAACTTAGACGAACATGGGAGGATAATATTAAAAACGATCTTAAATAGGGGTGTGAGTATGGACTGGATTCAACTGGCTCTTAATAGGACTGTAGTATCGGGATCTTTTGAACACTATAATGAAACTTCGAGTTCTTGACTAGATGAACGACTATGCTCTTCTGACGAAAGACTGTTCCATGTTCTTAACGTGTTTTCTGAGCGCGAACAAAAATTCGATGTTCGTTATGTTAATGCAGGCTAACATTCTTTACATGTGACAAAGTGACACAGTCATTCAAATCCAGTTCACGTTCTGTCCATCTCTGAACATACCGGAAATGGTAGTTCCAGTCGAAAAGCAACTGAAGATGATTAGCACATCCTGCTACATTAGTAAGGTGTAGCCATTACATTTGGCATAGGTAATCGAGTGTTGACCAAGACAAACTAAGTCAGGTGTGGCGGAACGGGGAGGGAGGGGGGCTAGTTAGACGTTTCTATGGCGAGAGAGGGATAATAGGCACACGTATGAAAAGTGAAACGTCTTACGTTGTAATCTTTCTTGGCCCTTGCACCAATTACATCACATCCTTCTCTGACTGCTTGTGTTTCTTTAGACCTCCCTTGGGTTAAATTTGCCCCTGACCTCCATAATTAACTGTGTGGTGGGGCCCACTCGTATCCTAACCTCTATCCTACCGATACCTTGTTCTGGTAATTTTCACGATAGGTGGGGACGCAAGAATCTGCTCGGATGTGTTTTACTGAGGTATATAAACCAAACGGTCAGCACGACAAACCAGCATTCGTTTTGTAACGCAGACCGACCGCAAACTACAAACATGTACAAGCTGGTGAGTTTTATTTATTTTTTACTTCAGTTCACAAAACGGAGACAAACACGCACAGTCCGTTTACTTTATTCAACTATATTTTTTAGAAATAAAGCAAAATTAACATCGAAGTCACAATAAAAACAGAGTGTAACAAACATTTAAGAAATTTTAGATTTTAAGCATCTGGAAACAACTATGAGAAACACATGTATGGTTCTTGATCAAATTAGGAGCACAATTAATTCAAAAAATGATTGTTATTATTAAGTTTGAAAACGTTTATAATTAATTCTACATTTTACGAATCTGAAGCTGAGGGTAGGACATACAGAACAATTTCGTTGCTAGTTATTTAATATGGGTTGAGGATATATTAACTATAACTCCAGATTTGAAGTTCTTACATCGACAAAGCATTAGAATGTCTGTTTTCTGGAATGCTGCACCGTGTTACATCGTCCTGATGATGGAGGCAATAAGGTCCTTTGAACCGCCAGTCAATATCTACCAGACTAAGCGGCAACACATGCCAGAAGACAGTCATCTCAAACGATTAGTGTTGAAAACTAAGTAGCCAATAACCTAAGATATATTAAATAAATTTAGAATGTGAGATCTGAAGTTTTTACAGCAGTCAGGATGATATTCTGAATTTGATGTTTGGAAGACTCGTCGGTAGGTGTTAACGATTAACCACCTATTGAATACAGAGCCACTACTTATTTTCACAGATTCTCCTGCCTCTCTTCTTCGCCGCCGTTTCGGCTGGCTACCTGGGCGCTCCAGCAGTCGCTACATACGCTGCCGGCCCCGTGGCCTAAAAACTGCCCCTGCAGCATATGCCGCCCCTGCAGCATACGCCGCCCATGCAGCATATGCCGCCCCCGTAGCCTATGCCGCTGCCCCAGCTGTAGTCAAGACCGCCGTCGCCGCCCCCCTCGCTACATCCTACGCCAACACCTACAAGGTTTCCCTCAACGCCCCAGTAGCTTACGCCGCCCCTGCCGCTTATGCAGCCCCCGCTGTGGTTAAGTCTGCGGTTATTGGAGCCGCCCCAGTGGCTTATGCTGCACCTGCCGCTTATGCCGCCCCAGCTCTGGTCAAGTCTGCAGTTGTTGGTGCCGCCCCCTTCGGATACGCCGCTCCCCTTGGTTATGCGGCCCCCTACGGTTATGGATACGCTCATTAAGAAATGATGAAACACTGGATGTGTATCATACGTGTACATATTTGTGATATTTATCATTTTATATTTTATTGTGACATCGCCCGCCATGATATTAAATAAATGACTGATCATTCTGAAGAAAAAAAATCTGATTTATTATTTCTTGCATGAATCACACTTCTCAAGGTAAAACCTCAAAGCAAGAGTGAGATATATGAGATTTGAATTTCTCACGGCTATCTTCTGGATTGACATGACGCCCTGTAGTCTGGTATTTGGTTACCAACGTTTCGGAGAAAAATATCGCTCATATTTCTAGGACTGTCAGAAGCGATACGCTCCTCCAAAACGTTGTAACCACCCAGGCTTACATATTTTCATGGTGTCACAACACTGAAAATTACGATCGGCAAGAGCTAGAGATGTTCTCCATTCTAAAGTAAGCATGTAAATCAAATGCGTTCTTTGCAACTGTGCCTTCATCAGTGACTTTGATATTCATTGACTGTAGACAAAACTCATTGTTACAAACTGATCACAGAAATCATTCTTCAGAGCCAGTAACACTTTCAGTTATATTTGGTAAAATATTCACCGTATCATAAATGGTTACGTAATGTAACCGAAAAATTAAGTTAAAGTTATGATGAGTTGCACCTCCCAATTTTTATAAAAATCTAATGAACTTCTACTTACTCTTCACGTAAACTACAGGTTATGACATGAACCAAAACAAAACTACATCGAAACTTGTCTGTTTCTCTGGTACAAAACATTAGAATGGGCAACACTATGTATTCCTCTGATAAGCTTCACACAAATATTTGGTCAACCATAGAAACATCCACGGAAAACATCAGCTTAGGAATCACCAGACTATAAAACCTTTTACAAAACTCATACTACTTCATCAACTAGACCTTGTGGCCTGTTGTAATTTATAATTACAAACTAAATTATGAATCAATTAACACATGAAATGATTCCTTGGACAGGTAATCAGCCCGTAACAAAGCGTCTACCTGCACAGTACAACGCAGCACAGAAAGACGACGAAAACCCATGCCTTGAGCAAGATTCGAACCCAGTATTCCAGCCTCTAAGCTACCAACAACCACATCGAAGACCGTTCGACCCAACTTACACTTACACACATTAAATGGCATTTACGAGGACAGGAGATCTGGGCGGACACGGCGAAGAACAGTAGTTTCCGAGCATGCGCATGAAGTAACGTGCAGTAATTACTCTCACTCGGGTATCAGCACGCAATGCTGTTTACGAAAGACAGAGACACCTGCCAATGTCCTGCGCTGACTACTTAAAAAGCAGCGAAATAACGGTTTCTAAATGACTGAGACAGTGGGTTCAGTTCGCTATACGGGATGTACCACTTAAGACGCGATAAAAGCATGTACAGCAGCACGAAAATTAAATCAGAAGCAGGTACATTTGTAATAACAGACTCTAAGAACCTTCCCTGCGACACTCCAGTAAAGTTTAACCTGGTTGCCAGGCCGCTGGTAAAGCCAATGTTAAAAAATGTTGTATTAACGAGCAGAACATGTGTTCATTATCGAGTATTACAATACATCGACTGGTAATAAAGTTTCGGAAAACAGACAATGTTTTTTCTGTGACAAGCTCTCACCGAGTAATGAAAGAGCTGCAATTATAGCTGTGCCTGTGTCAAACAACAGCGGAATTGTTTTCGTCGATTTGTGCTTGAAGATGTTCATGTGACTCATAGACTTCTTCGAAAAATTTTATTAAACGACTCGACTTACTACATGCAACGGACAGATGGACGAAGAGCCATATGGCGAGGTTTGAAGGTGCATTTTTGTAAGTTTATTTGCTATAAAGTTGTCCTGTTCTGTCCTGGGGTAAAAAGTAAGTAAAGTTTGTCCCACTATACGCCATGTAGGCGTTTGGGGTGAGAGGAGGTATAGCTCCTCTCTTCCTTGACCTCGGCACTAGATGGGGGTGAGTGGTCAGCATCACGCCCCGGCCGGCTTTACCCCCGGGAAAGGACCCCGGTACCCATTGTAGAGGAGGCTGGGTGGGCCCCAGAGCCGGTCTGGACGCAGAGGCTAGAGGAAAAATCCTCTGCCCCCGTCGGGGATCGAACCCCGGTCGTCCAGCCCGTAGCTAGTCACTATACTGACTGAGCTATCCCGGCTCTCTGTCCTGGGGTAGTTCAAGTGATATTAACTGTGAATCGTCGGATTATGCACCATAAATTGAACTTTCTATCGGTTGTAAGAATATGTTATACGTTGCACAACCTATAGTTGATTATGAATTGATATTTAATAATCTCTTTACAATTCGATCACCAGGAATGGCTGAAGAAAACCAAGTGTCACTAAGAAAAACTGGCCTTGAGTCTCGGTTGTTAAAGCTGACACAAAACTCGTGAAAGTTGTACATATGTTCATGTCCATACAAAACATAACCTGCATACTGAATTGTTCACTTTTCAACCTAATTATTTTTTAACGTTGAATAACGTTTATAAAATCACGGTACACTCGACGGAAACTGTAAGATGTAACGTAACGTTGGTGTGTAACTTCTTCAAACGCCAATAACTCGAGACCTATGTAAGATAAAGAATATAAACCTTTATGTAAATTAAAGAGCATATAAAGGGCTTTTTCTACATGATGTTTAATTTATTCTATAATGCATATTTTATACACTGTTGAAATAATTACCCAAAACATTTAATAACTATACTCCCGTTCCTTAACTTCAACCGCCTGCCACGTCTAAGGCGTAAGAGTTAGATCCGGACGAATTGCGAGTGAAATACGTAAATAAACACGAGCTTTTCAAATTCGCAAACAGAATTCAGTTTTGACCATTTATTTGGTAACAAAGAACGGTTCTAGACTGAGTGTGTTGAGTACATGATGCAACACATCGATAAGCTGTCGGCGGATGACGTCACGTATACGAGGTGCGATCGAAAGGTTTCCAGACTGCGCGTATGAAAACCCGTACACTTATCTCAGGTATTAAATTCATCCATCACCCTCGAAGTAGTTCCCCTGGGAGTGAACACAACGATGCCAGCGCCGCTGCCAAGCCTGGAAGCATCCCTGGAAATCTTTCTTTGTCAGCCTGTCAAGCACCATCTGCGATTCTGCCTGAATCTCTTCTATCGTCTCAAATCTCCTTCCCTTTAGCTGAATTTTCATCTTTGGGAAGAGGAAGAAGTCACACGGAGCTTAGAAAGGAAGCTGGGGTCGGTTCTTGCAAGATCTTTAAACTCCTGACAAACGAGAAGTCGATTCTGCTTCTAGTCCTCTGACAGGATGCGTCGCATGTGGAGTTCTTCCTTTAGAATCAGCTGACAGGTCCCATAGCCTATCCCAAAAATGTCGCACAAGTCGTTGATGGTACGACGTCGATCTTCGTAACAGTTTCGGGCGTTGTGCTCGAAGATGGTCGTCCAGAACGCTCATCATCATCGACAGAGGTTCGGCCATTTTTAAAACGTGAATGCCACACAAAAGTTTGTGCACGACCCATTGCGGACTCCCCAAATGCTTGCTTTAGCATTTCATAGGTTTCCGTAGCCGTTTTGGCGAGTCTTTGGCAAAATTTGATGCACACGCCATTCCGAAAGCGCAGGAGGGTCGGTGTAATGCACTACCAAAACGCCCATAACTATTTTATTTCAGTACAAATATACTTCTGCAGTTAAACGTTATTCAACGTTAACTAGGAAACCGTGGTTCCACTGTCAATTTTTTGTTCTGGTCAAATGCGATCCACTAAGAAGTTAACTTGAACGTCTTTATTATACGGTTTTTTGCCTACAAGGCAAATTACGTGCTTCATAAACAGCAAAGTCACAAGTCTTTATGGATCTCAACAGATTCGTGACTATGAGAAAATAACCGTTCTCATTTTTAAAAGAATTATCATGTCATAATGATTTTCAGGTAAATCACAACTCATGTAGACCTGCCTTTAAAACACTGGCCACTTCTGTTAATGACAGAAGAATGTGAAGTGATGCAGTAAACTCCAAGGAAAGCAAACGAAAGAATAAAATAAAATAAAACAGTGAGAGAAATAAAGCGAGAAACACACACAAAAGAAGAAAATGCTAACACGAAAAGAATGAGTAATAAGGAAATATGTAAAGACGAAGTACGACAGTAAGATAGAATGAGACAAGGAAACAAAAACAAGAAAAGTGTAAAGAAGGTAAATACAAAACACCAGAAAACTAGAGGAAGGAAAGAAAGAAAGAATAAAGACGATAAAGGAAACAGGGAATGGAAGAAAAACTGAAAAGACAGAGCAACAAGGGAAGAAAACAATGACTTGTAGTTAACAAATAAGTGTTCAAATCGAGGATTACAGACCTTCGAAGTTTTTATATTTCAAGGTCAGTGAGAAGGCTTTCTGTCACCGTTTCAAGGCTGCTCGTCGTCTGTGCCACAGAAACCAAACGACACGTGCTTCTTGACAATTACCTTTCGGGTTGGAGAGTCTGATTCTGACTTCGCAGTATTGACATGCACTTGTTCGTGCTTATTGAATGAAACTTACTGTGAAAAGTGAGCTCTCCTTCACACACTACGCTGTGTTTGTCTCATACATACACAACTAAACATTCTTCATTTCATTACATTGTACTCAGCTTCTTTTACCAAAGTGTCGGGCAGTAAACTGATTGGACGAGAGAAACTACCAAAGAATTTTAACCGATGTTAAAACACCCCTTTCATTGGTGCACTTGCAATTCGGCTTACTCCACGTATTTGCCTTGGACGTACAGAAATAAACTTGCACGCATGCAAATTAACAGCTAATTTGAAACATGGCTACACTAAAGTTCATTTTAAAATACAGAATAATTAATTATTCGTGTTCTTACAAAAAAAACTGTTTTAACTTCAGATTCTAAGCATCGTCGAATTTAATTGGGATATGACCAGCAATCAGTGAGTGTGAAAAATTCTAAAAGACGTGGGTATGGCTTACTTTAGCCGCTC